TGGTAAACACAGACATCCTTCAGTATTAATGTATCAGTGGTAAACACAGACATCCTTCAGTATTAATGTATCAGTGGTAAACACAGACATCCTTCAGTATTAATGTATCAGTGGTAAAACTTAATGATAATTAATTTTCTTCCTGTTTATCGAACATGAATGAATGATAAAAGATTAATTGAACTGTTCTTTACCTTCTGTTGGTTTAGTCACTTTCTCTTCTTTCGGTTCTAGAGTTAGGATTGCATTCGACTGTACTTGAATTTCCTCTCGTAGTTCACCTTCTCTGAAGCTGTCCCCAAGAAATACTTGTTGCTCATCAGCTTGTCTCTTCCGTCTCTTGCCAAAAGCATCAACTCCATCACAGTACACCTACAAGTGGTACATACAGTGGATTCATAAGTCACCATAATACCAACTCTATCACAATAAACCTACAAGTGGTACATACAGTGGATTCATAAGTCACCATAATACCAACTACATCACAGTACACCTACAAGTGGTACATACAGTGGATTCATAAGTCACCATAATACCAACTCTATCACAATAAACCTACAAGTGGTACATACAGTGGATTCATAAGTCACCATAATACTAACTCTATCACAATAAACCTACAAGTGGTACATACAGTGGATTCATAAGTCACCATAATACCAACTCTATCACAATAAACCTACAAGTGGTACATACAGTGGATTCATAAGTCACCATAATACCAACTCCATCACAGTATTACTTACAGTGGATTCAAATAAGACTAATCAAATTTATTTCTGGTTTGTTTAGTTTAAAGTTTCTTTTAAAAGTTGAACTTAAGATTTTTTAAAATCTCACTGTTTGAATGAATATATTAATACTTGTTTGACATTAAAAAGAGTTACAAGTCTTCTGTTGATGATTCTACTTACGGCAGGACAAGAGCCAAAACAAACTCTGATATTACACTGGAAGCGAAGGTTGTTGCTTGCGGGAAACTTGAATGCATTAAAGGTTGCCAATAAAACTTTAGTCTCTGGATTGTACCTCCAGTTACCAAATATAGATGGATCCGTGGCACAGCCATTATCGTCTGTCACTTCATACTGTACTTCTTCATCATCGTTCATCGTCTTGGCCACACAGCTACGTACAAAGCCACCGTAGATATCTGGAAAATAAACAATATTGGCATTTTAAAAATAAAAAAGTCTTACGTCAATCTTGGTTGATATCATACGTGTATCTTTAACATAATGCTGGTTATCTGTTATAGTTTAAGAGATACTGTTAAATATCATACGTGTATCTTTAACATAATGCTGGTTATCTGTTATAGTTTAAGAGATACTGTTAAATAGTAAAGTATATGTAACACATCAAAACATACAAAAGCTGTCACAACAATAAAATTCACTGTTGAGTTTACATAGTTGTACTTTTCATGTTGGTTTTACCGACAATACCAAACATTTTATATGTTCTTTAAACCTACCAGCTAATATTAACAGAAACATTTTATATGTTCTTTAAACCTACCAGCTAATATTAACAGAAACATTTTGCTTAAGTCCATTTAGAAGAAAAATGTCTCAGAAACATACTGCTTCATGATCTATATGTACAGTCTGGTAGTCTATTATTACACTATCTATACGTACAGTCTGGTAGTTTATTATTGCATGATCTATACGTACAGTCTGGTAGTCTATTATTACATGATCTATACTACCAGTCTGGTAGTCTATTATTACATGATCTATACGTACAGTCTGGTAGTCTATTATTACCTGATCTATACGTACAGTCTGGTAGTCTATTATTATATGATCTATACTACCAGTCTGGTAGTCTATCATTACATGATCTATACTACCAGTATGGTAGTCTATTATTACATGATCTATACATACAGTCTGGTAGTCTATTATTATATGATCTATACTACCAGTCTGGTAGTCTATTATTACATGATCTATACGTACAGTCTGGTAGTCTATTATTACATGATCTATACTACCAGTTTGGTAGTCTATTATTACATGATCTATACTACCAGTCTGGTAGTCTATTATTACATGATCTATACGTACAGTCTGGTAGTCTATTATTATATGATCTATACTACCAGTCTGGTAGTCTATTATTACATGATCTATACTACCAGTCTGGTAGTCTATTATTATATGATCTATACTACCAGTCTGGTAGTCTATTATTATATGATCTATACGTACAGTCTGGTAGTCTATTATTATATGATCTATAGGTACAGTCTGGTAGTCTATTATTACATGATCTATACGTACAGTCTGGTAGTCTATTATTACATGATCTATACGTACAGTCTGGTAGTCTATTATTACATGATCTATACTACCAGTTTGGTAGTCTATTATTACATGATCTATACTACCAGTCTGGTAGTCTATTATTACATGATCTATACGTACAGTCTGGTAGTCTGTTATTACATGATCTATGATTATTATATGATCTATACGTACAGTCTGGTTGTACATCAACTCTAAGAAGTAAGTCTTCTCCAATTTCTGCACTTGAAATTTCTAGTCCATTATTACTGACAATGGTCATTTTACATGTTGGTGGTGGACCCGTGTTGGCAATCGTCCCCGAAGTAGTAATCATACTGAAAGAAAAAGTAAATAAATTAAGCCATACAAAACACCCTCGAACGTTGTTTGTAGTAGCTAGAGAGTTAGAGTTATCCCTTTAGGTGTTGAAGAAGAAGAAGGAATCTAATTTTTGAGAATAAAAAGTTGTGATAGTGAAACAGTTTCTCAATGAAAAGTTACGACTAGAAACTAGAGTTATCCTTTGACTAGAGAAGAGACTTGTGTTTCCACATCTAATTGGAAACAGGTTTGTATTCCACTAGGGACTGGTCTTTCTATACTGAGTTAATTGATAATCTTTACTTTAAGTGTAGAAAGTCCATAGATATATACAGTGTAGAATTTACTGTCTGCGGGAACTAATATCCTTTAGCTTAGAGCCACTATTGTAGAGTTATCATGTTGAGTTCTTATGAATCTTTCTTTTGTGAACAGGTATAATTCCTGACTCATACCTGACGTTAAAGCCAAGTGTTATGGTTTTCTCTCCAGTGTTGTAGACGCACTTGATGTGATAGGCTCTTGCTCGGACAGTCACCAACCTTGGGTGCTTTTGTATTACTAGAATAAAGGAGGCTTCACCCTGTAATATAGAAACAACATATGTATTTTCACCATTCATTTAACATGTCAGTTACTCATAAGGTACTTACATTAACATGAATTAATCCACAGGTATTGAATGGAATAACAGTATAAGGTACTTACATTAACATGAATTAATCCACAGGTATGAAGAGAACCTTGAAGTCTATGATTTGTCGTTCGTTATTCGTTACAACACGACGACACTGAGGATTTTGACTGTGTCCTTTTACATAGATGATTCCATTAAAACCTTCTAGTTGCATTGATACTTGAACACCATCTGCCAAGCACATGACTAACAAAACAGAGAAAAAAAACATGACTTAGAAAACAGAATATATCATATTGGGACTACTGAAACTAATCTATTAAACATGACTTGGAGAATAGAAAACATCATATCAGGACTACCAGAAAATATCATATCAGGACTGACAGAAACTAATGTATTAACATGACTTGGAGAACAGGAAATATCGTATCAGGACTATCAGAAACTAATCCATTAAACATGACTTGGGGAACAGGAAATATATCAGGCCTATCAGAAACTAATCCATTAAACATGACTTGGGGAACAGGAAATATCATATTAGGACTACCAGAAACTAATCCATTAAACATGACTTGGTGAACAGGAAATATTGTATCAGGACTATCAGAAACTAATCCATTAAACATGACTTGGAGAACAGGAAATATATCAGGACTATCAGAAACTACTCTATTAAATATGACTTAAAGAATCAAATATATTATATCATGACTAAAAGAAACTAATGTATTAACATAACTTGGAGAACAGAAAATATTTTATCAGGACTACCAGAAACTAATCCATTAAACATGACTTGGAGAACAGGAAATATATCAGGACTATCAGAAACTACTCTATTAAATATGACTTAACAAATCAAATATATTATATCATGACTAAAAAAAACTAATTTATTAACATGACTTACAGAATTGAAAATACTACATCATGAATAGAGGAATTTAATTTATCAATATAACTTACTATTTTGTGTATAACATTTCTAAAAATATATATAAATGAAAAATAAAATGTTTTATTTGACCTTCCATAACTGTTCTTGTTTTTTTAGCACTGATGATGTATCTTACCTGACAAGTCTGTTGGAGGTAAGGGAGTTTTGGGCTCAAGAATTGGAGGCTCTGTTAAAAAACAAAAAATTAAACATTGATACTCTATTAACTTCACAATAACAACTAGTTGATCAAACCTCAATACTCTATTAACTTCACAATAACAACTAGTTGATGAAACATTGATACTCTATTAACTTCACAATAAAAACTAGTTGACGAAACCTTGATACTCTATTAACTTCACAATAACAACTAGTTGATCAAACCTTGATACTCTATTAACTTCACAATAACAACTAGTTGATCAAACCTTGATACTCTATTAACTTCACAATAACAACTAGTTGAGTGAAACCACAGAGAACTGTTAATTTCACAATAACAGCTATTTGAGTGAAACTTCCTGGTACTGTTAACTTCATAGTAACTTCACAATTACAACCAGCTGTTGAAACTTTAATGTGTTTTTTTTTTACTTCACAAAAATAAATACTTGATGTTTTATAAAAGTTTTACTCATTTTTAATATTGATGAAAAAAGTAATTTACACTCGAAAATAAAGATTCAGTTTTTATTTTCAACTGTTTCAGATAGTTGTCTTCCAAGTTATGTAGATTCTTTACTGATGAACATTCCATGAAGAAATTACTTTTAACAGATCCTTACCTTCACTAAAAGAAATGTCAAAACATTTAGTTAGCCATAGTTGAAGTCGTATTAACACACATTAAACCGTACCATATGTTAAGGATTATAGTCGACATGCACATTAATACACACAAAAACATAATATTTGTTATAGAATTAGTGAAACTCTAATCGTTACAAAACATCAATTTCCGAGTCTTACCTTCATAACAGCCTAAGAACTCATCGAAAGGATCTCCGATAGTATTTGGTGGACATATACATTTAGCCTCGTGGTTGACCACTGTACAGATGGCTTTCGGCCCACACTTGTAACAAGAACCTATTAAACAGAAAGATATGTGTTTGTAATAAAGGCTAATTACCAAAGCATCTTGCTTTAACAAAACAATTACTTTCTGTCATGGTTATAATGCGCTGTCATTCAAAAGCTAAGGCTATCATTGAACCCATTATTTACTGCCTGACAAAGGGTATCTGCCCAAAATGTCTCACAAAATGAAACACAATCAAGACATCTCTTGATATATCTTTCAATAATTGTTATCTGAATTGTTTCTGGTTTGTTTGAATTTTGCGCAAAGCTACACGAGGGCTATCTGTGCTAGCCATTTCTAATTTAGCAATGAAAGACTAGAGGGAAGGCAGCTAGTCATCACCACCCACTGCCAACTCTTGGGATACTCTTTTACCAATGAATAGTTGGATTGATCATCACATTATAATGTCCCCATGGCTGAAAAGGTGAGCATGTTTGGTGTGACGAGGATTGAACCCACGATCCACAGATTGCGAGTCGAGCGCCCTAACCACCTGGCCATGCTAGGCATACAGCTGAATGAGCACAGATAATGTTTATTTAACTTACAGCTGAATGAGCACAGATAATGTTTATTTAACTTACAGCTGAATGAGCACAGATAATGTTTATTTAACTTACAGCTGAATGAGCAGATATAATGTTTATTTAACTTACAGCTGAATGAGCAGATATAATGTTTATTTAACTTACAGCTGAATGAGCAGATATAATGTTTATTTAACTTACAGCTGAATGAGCAGATATTATGTTTATTTAACTTACAGCTGAATGAGCACATATGATGTTTATTTAACGTACAGCTGAATGAGCAGATATAATGTTTACTTAACTTACAGCTGAATGAGCACAGATAATGTTTATTTAACGTACAGCTGAATGAGCACAGATAATGTTTATTTAACTTACAGCTGAATGAGCACAGATAATGTTTATTTAACTTACAGCTGAATGAGCACATATTATGTTTATTTAACTTCCAGCTGAATGAGCACAGATAATTTTTATTTAACTTGCAGCTCATAAGACAATTCCACTTCGTTTCTGCATTTATTTCAAACATAAGATAAAAAGAACGAAAGTGCAGTTTATAACATAAACATTATAGTATAAACTTTTATACTTTTACATAAAGTGTTAAAAGACACTAGATAGTTATATTCCT